TACAGGGTGATTCGATGAAAAGTTCACTTCGCCTTAATTTTCGACGTTTTTACATTTGCGAAGTCACTCGAAGGACGTTTTAGTAATTAACTGACCTGACTTAGAAAAATTCTTCAAAAATTTCGGATTTGTCGTTCCGCATCATGAATTAACAAAAACCTGGAATTATATACGAAATTCAATAAAACCTGACTATTTTTCACACTATAAACTGAATGCGTGCTATATCGTATATCTGCATCGATTCGAAACATTTTCGATACTATCGAATCCCCACTTGACATATATTGGATATGCGAAAATACTGAATAATTTGATATTTCACAGTGTGATGGATAAGTGTTGTTTTATAGGTTTGGTATCAAAAAATCCTATATACCGACAGAGTACTGTAATACACCACAGTGTACATAGCCAGATGTGGATGAGTCAGAGAATATCGAAATATTATTTAATTACTGATAAGCGAAACGTTTAATCAAAATCGATAGGAATTATTTATTGGAAATATATCGGCTGACGTAATTATCTTCAAGAAATCCATAGACAATTGAAATGGATAAGGGATGACTGGCTGATAGACCGGAACTATCGTCAGGGAAAAGCCGAAGGGAGTTCGGAGTGAAAAGAAGGATAATAGGTATAAAAGGGTAAAAACATATTAAAAAAAGAAGGAAAAAGTAAAACAGTAAGATAGAGGATAAGACGTAGCTATATACAAGTATCCATTGGTGCGGCAGGAACAGTTTACAACAGAATATTGTCCCGTGTAAGCCGCTCTCCAATATTTCATCAACTTTCTTATTCCTTCCTTTTTCCTGGTTCTACTGGTACCCCAAGCCGATCTCGATCACGGTTCCCCTTCTCTCCACCCTCCCCTCCGATTCCTTACATATCAGAGACGAGAATGGGCCGCGCAAACTACGTCCAAGTATTTTACAAGGCTTCTTCTGTAAGAAAATGCTGTATCTCAGATATTTTCACCGAACCGACTATTTGACCGTATATATAATATAATAGTCGGTTCGAGTCAACTCTATTCCGTGGACTCGGTTTCCTCTCCGTTCTATTACAGTTGTACGATCCTCATTTTTCCTGTTGGGAAAAGGTAAAACTCTTTCATGGGATTCTCTAATGCTGTGTAACGATATTACAAAGTGATTGCCAATTATATGGAGTATTTTGTAAACTTTTCAAATGCACCGGATGATCGTGGTGAATGGGACGATAACCACGATAACGAATGGATATTCTTTACTCCTTGTGAAAGGGAAACACTGGGCGGATATGAAAGTAGACATTTATCGCCGTATTATCTGAAAAATTCTGGACCGCGCGATATTAAATACGGCTTTTAGCGGAGTAATGAATTTCACGTGGGATGAGACAGCCGCTCTCGTATGGTTGACGTAAGGAATTGCTACCGCGAAATTATTTCCTTTATAAATCAGCAGCCATACATTTCAACGGCCGACTCATTTTCCCACCCCTGGGTAATACTATTTTTCTCCCTTAACCAGGAAGCTAACCGCGAATCCTGTTATATACACATATACACAGACGCAAGCAGCCAATCGCAACCTAGGGTCAGGTCAAGTTTTTGTTGTTAGAAAATGACAAGTATATAGGGGATGCTCGTATAATGATATCATCATAGGATGCTTAAGCCATGTATTATATAGGTACTACTAATCATAAGAATAGGTTTATACTGATTCAACATGGACGTTTAGTCGGACAGTCTAGGAGTAACACTATGAGGGTTGCTTGATTTGCCAAAGGAGTGAAGGCGGGGATGTAGTAATTTGTCGGCTTGGGAAAGCGGCTGGTTCGAAGCTGATAACAGGGGGTGGTCCATTCTCCTCTGATTCAAGCCCCCCGCTATCCACCCGACACCAGCAAGCCCGCACCCCCTATTTCTACTTACAAGCAACCCTCCTTGCAATTCTCGGCATCTAAGACGTCCTGCGCCTCCTCAATCTCTCACACACTTCATCCCTTCTATCTATCGTTAGAAAATCAAATCACGCCATATTAAAAAAAAAAGTAAAAGCAAACCTAAGTCGTAAGAAATTAACAAAAATTCAACCCTAATTTCTACCCGCATATTATCAACGTTAACGTATAGCATTTCCGTAAGAGATTTTTTTTTTATTAACAAACAAAAAATCTTTAATCCCGTCTGTACCGTGAAACTACGAACGTGGAGACACTAATGCGAATTGTGTCCCGGCAGGGTAGAAATACAGTTGAGACTCCCTTAATCCGAGAATCTTGTCGACTTGAAATTCTTGGATTTGCTGATTGGCCGCAGCAAACAAAGTTAGACGCCTAATCTCGTTTCCTCGACGTTTCCACGGCGTTTCTACGACTCCTTCCGAAATTCACTCTGCCCGCCCTACAGCCCTTCTGTACAGCCGCTCTCTCCCCAATCAGTTTAGCATTAACCTGGAAAAGTTCTAATTACTCGGTGTGAGGAGAATAACCATTAGTTTCGTCTACTTAAAAACTTCAGTATCTAATGTCCGTAGTGTAGAAGTGGCAAGAAGAACCTAGCCCCACCTTTATACCTTATACAGTCCCTTTGGTGTCGTTAGCCAAAGGCAACGAAAACATTGAAGGGATAAGATTTAGGTCCTGCATCCGAAATCCATCGAGAAATCCGTAAAAAAAAAAGAAAAAAAAAACTTAAAAACGTCAATACTCTGGTACAGCGAGGTTAAGAAGAAAATTCTTTTTAATTTTTAATTGCAAAATCAAAAGCGATAATGTATAGCAAAGCTTTCAGCTAAATTCTCATAAAGCTTTACAAGAAGACAGCTTTCTCTCATTTCCAGAATTAAGCTTACCAGTTAAAGCACACGTTTGCCGCTTTGCCTTGAGTCAGTATCTTTAATATGTCCGACGATGTGAAATTAAAGCCTCTCCAAGCTCACGTTAACCCTGAGCTTACGTAATCCTGCATTCCAGTCTGACACGTTGGCAGTACCGCAAAATGGGATGGAATTTAAAATTTGCAAAAAAAAAAGGATTTGATCGAAATTATTTATTCTCGATCGTACGAATTCATTGCTGTTGGATATTGTGCTTAGTTGAATATTGTATTTCATTGTTGTGATTTATTTGTTCAACCCTTGGTATAAGGGAGTCAATGAGAAATGCAACACTACTTAGACATTCTCTTCTCAAATATACCAACAGACTCCTAACAGTGTTTGTATCTCGCACACATTGGTTCAGCTTCATGCATCCGTACTCACCCTTGTCCACAGCCCTTCAGTTTGCTACCCCAACGTAATACATTCCGGGGAACCGCTCCAATTAGAGAATTCTTTTTAGATAACTGCCAAACTCTACGACGTGACGTCACAAGTTACTCATATCAGACTCGTATCAAACTATTGTAGTTTGGTAGCGAGTATCATGGTGATCTATACATAGAATCCAGCTGAAGAGCAGTAATCAATGTACAGAAATGTTTAAGTTAAAATTCTGGTAAGAGATACTGTTTATGATTTATCAATCTAGAATACAAATTTTTATAGCATTCAATTAAAAATTATTGGAAATGAAAATTGTACGGTAAATGTCAATGGGTGTTAATTTTCGATACAGGAATATTTTAAATATATCTTTCATAATGTACCAACATGCGAGAACTAACCATCCGAGAATAGTTAACCAATATTACCGCAGGGAATTCAAGTAAATTTGCTATTCTCCAAATCTTTGATCAGGTTTCACCTATGAATAAGAAAGTTGCCAAGGTACCAATTCTCCTCACGGATCCAGCGTGACTTCCGTTTCCTGGCTACTTCTCGTTTGAGCATCATTAAACTGTACAAAAGGGCTAAGGGGGACAGGACACCAAGGAGCGCCGGCGGCGTTTGGTAAAAAAAAAATTGTCACGAAATCGTCAGCTTTCCGGTGGACTTGTAATAAAATTAATTGAATTGAAAGAGCCTATTCTTTCGAATACGTAATTATTTTCATCTCATTGTCGCACTTTTAACGTAACCCGTCTAGGTGCATCTGCGAGATAGTGTCGCGCCTGGCGACCGGAAATGGCGGCAGCTGAGATGCCGGAAGTAAGATGGCGACTACACTGCGCCAACGGCTTCAGCGATTCTCATACTCTCGACGCATCCAACGAATAATTCTCCAGCTCATTTTAAATAGTTATAATGAAATTATCATTGTTTGAAAATGTTTTTACAGTAGGTAATGCATGAACTCCCTTTCAGTATGTGGTTATTATTGCTGTATGTAAAGTATGTTTACCTTGTACAGTACATTTAAATTTTACGTTCACAAAATATTTGTTGCCCAGATTTTTTTTCAGAATAAAAATATGAACTTTTAATATTAAATTGTCAGGGTGGGAAAATGGTGGTAATCGTCAAGGAAATCTATTATCTGTTTTCGAAAGAAGATACTGATAACAGACTGTATCGAGATTGATAAGATTGTAAATAAGGCTACAGAACTGCCACCAGCCTGAAAATGACAAAAACTCGAGAGTTGCATGCAACTCTTATGATAAAGTAGGACTGTTTTCAAGGGATGAATTTACCCTCAGTTATCGTCGGTAATGCAGTGCTTCATAGAAATCAATACGTAGTGTTCAGGGTAACTTGAGAATTACCATCCCTTACAAAATTAATTTTCTATCCATGATAAAGGTTGTTCTAAATACACGAAGTTACCTATCGGCTATGTTATCAGTAAAGTACCGATAAAAGATAACAGTTTTTTAAATCACGAACTACTGCCATCTTCGGAAACAAACACGGTCCTTGATTCAAAAGATAACTTTTTGTTTGATCGATACTCACTGACAAAATTTTACTGGGTAATATCACGACTTCACAGTGAAGATACGTCAACCTCGTGGATTTGAGGGTTAATTTTTTTTTGTAGAGATGTAGTCAGTCTTGTATGTGATTTGTGAAATTTTTTGTAAAAATTGTCGTGTCAAAATGTGCGACTCTTCGAAGTGGAAGCTAACTAGCCAATGTCGAAATCAAAATCATTATCGTTTTGTGGCCACGAATAAGTACGTAATGGGTATTTGTATGCACTGTGAATAATTCATGTAAGTTTTTAAACTTGTAGATATGAATTCCCTGTTCCTCGATCGAAATCATATTGGGACAAGGTCTGTCGGGAATCTGAAGAAAAATTTAAAAAAGTAAGAAAACCATTTATCCAATTCCCAATTAACCATTCTAAAATAAATCCCAGTCATATTGATAACTCTATAGAATTTAAAGAATCTATTGATCCTATTGTTAAAATTTCACCACCTTCTCCTTTGCACACTATCTCCTTATACGATAATGAGAAACAATTCGATGTAACAAATTTTGAGGACGATAATGAAACGATTCATGGTCAAATTAGTAGTGTAGAAAATGACAAAATCAATTCCTTATCAAAATCTGATCCTAACATGTCTCAAATTTCTAATCTAATAACAGACTTCTTAGTAAACAGTAAAGTTGACTCAGCAAAAACATGTCCTTATCATAAAAATGAACCGCCGATAAAAATATTTGATGACAATTTAAAAAAAGTTTTACCAAAACGTAAAGTGACATCGTCAAAGGTCAAGAGTTCGAAGTTACAAAATGACGAGATAAATTTGTCGAAAGCGAAGGCAAAGAAATCATGTTCTGGCTACGTGGTCACAGAGTCTGATGATAAGAATGAAAAAATTCATAACAGACCAAGAACTGCAGGAACTCAAAATTTATCGAAAATTCAAGTGATCGAGAGCAATCTGAATACCATTCTAAGAATTCCGAAACTCGAAGAGATGGAGAGAGAAATAAATCTTCAATCGAGCACAATGCTAAATTCCACGGAAGTGAGAAAAATCGAGGAGAAACTCGAAAGTTTCTCAGGACTCCAGAAAGTCAAAGAACTCAAAGTTCCAAAACTGGGAACTGTGAGCTTATATCCGAGCTTTAACAAAGCAATGTCCATCGAGAGTCTGGACGAAGTTTACAAGTGTTCAAATGAAAATAAAAAGTCACTGGAGTTTCCAAAAATCACGGATGCATTAATATATCCGGAAAATGCTGCAAGGTTAAATAAACCGGAGAACAGACCGGAAGAAGGTAAAGACTTGTTAAAAGTGCCGAAATTGAGTGGCGCGAGTTCTTATTCGAGCTTCAATAAATTATCCTCAGGTGATAGCGTAGATAAGGAAGATGAAGAAAGAACCCCCACCAAAGATCTTGAAAGAGGATACGAGAGGACTACGAAACGAAGTCAGAACTTTCTGAAGGTCCCAAAATTCAGTACTCTAAGTTCATATCCAAGTTTTAGCAGTCTAGTTACAGACAGCCTCGACAATGAGGACAATAGCGTATTTTCGTCTCAAGCGCCTTCGATAACAGCCACTTCGAATGAATTTAAAATACCGAAAGTCAAATCTGAAAAAAAAACTGACAAAGTTGAAAGTAATAAGTTGCCAAATAGTATAGAATCGAAGAAAAAGTATTCTCTTAAGCATTCCGTGAAGTATGCATATAGGGCTTTGAAATTTTTGACTCCGAATAAAAATTTGAATTTCACCTCAAAGACTTATGACTCTTTAGAAAAATCTACGTCGAGCAGCACTCGTTCGAGTTCGAGCTCAGATATTTCAGAATCGAAAAATAAAAGTGTTTGCCGCAAGAAACGTCTAAGCGATAGTTCTTTGAATTTTGAAACTGTTTGCTCAAAATTGCAAGAAAAAGCTTCCACGCATTTGGATGACGGTTTTTTAGTTTCACACTCAAAATTTTTAGAAAGGACCGAGTCTGTTACAATTCCAACAACAACAAGGACTACCTCTGGCTCAAGTACAAAATTTGACGAACCTATTTTAGTAAATGACTTTTCAAAAACTCTTAAAAAAATTCCCGAAATTCGTATGTTTCCTAGAAAAAATAAGGACAGATGTTTAGCATGTCTATATAAGACTTTCGAGGAGCCAATAAAAGTCAAAGAGGAATTACCTGTGACGGTTTTAAAATCAATTTTGGAAAAGCCAAAATTGAAAATATCCCACAGTGAATCCAGTTCAATAAGTCTACCTGATTTGGATACCATAAGCAAATTGGAGTCAGAATGTGAGGAAGGCAAATCGTTTGATCAGTCAAAGGGTATCGATGCTTCCCATTTGTCATCACCAGCTCAGTCGGTTCTGTCGCGATACATGACAGAAGTAACGAAATCTCCTTTGAGAATGTCGGAAAATCACTTCCAACAAACAGTCAGCCAGTCTATATCCCCTCAGGCTTCGCAGATTTTAAAACCAACGTCAAAGTCCTTATCGGTATCTTCTGAACATTCTAAAGCATCTTCCATCAGTGGTCAGAGTTCAGAGTCAGATGACACGCAAATTCCAACGGATCAAAAATTGTCATCGTATAAATATTTCGTGCCTTGTCATGCTCCTCTTAATCTGAGACCCAGTCTGGAACCACTAAAAGCACTTAAATTTAAAAAACCAATGTCTATGCATTCCAGAAGTGCTTCAGTTGTAAAAGCTGCTGATGGAAGTGATCTTGAGGAGAGTACGGATGATAGTTTTGATGTAAAACAGGAAACAATACGCAACTTCACTATGAAAGATCCTAGCAAGATCATCGATGGCTCCGAAGAAGAGGACTCGATAGTATCAATGAGAAGGTCGACAGAAAATTTGGAAAATTTTCCAAAAGGTACAAAATCATTCGAAACGATGGAAACTAATAACGAATTGACAGATTCTAGAACGATGGATGCAGTCGAGGATGAAGTAGAGATGAGGAATAAGAATTCTTTAGAAAAAAGCAAAATACTTATGAAAATGAAATCAGTGTCTGGGGATATATCAAAATTGAAATCGTTTGACGATACACGATTATACAAATCCATGGATGATAAAAAAAGTCATAAATTGATGCAAAGTCAATCCACAATGAACTTGAAATTAAATTCGGCGAAATCAGAGAAAGAGTCAGACACACGAACGTCTTGTAACGATTCAAATATTTTATCGGAAAGTAAATCAAAGTTTAAAAAACCCGCGAACGAAAAATTATCTCTCATATTAAGTAACGATTTAATAAAGCGTTTAGAAAAGTCCATAAGCGATAATGATACTGCGTTAGAGATATTAAAAATTCTAACTACTGAATACTTGGAAAAAATAGCAGATGATAAAAAGTGGTCAATCAGTAAGAGAATTGAAAAATCTAATATAATAGCGACAAATTTACTTAAGCTTTTAGTAGAGTCAAAACAGTATCTACATCCTGACAAATTTCCCTCTAACCTAGAATTCTCATCAAAACAGCCACTCCTCTGCAATTCCCGTCAACTTAAAAGAAACCTACCCCCAAAATCCTACAACCTCGTAGCACCAATTTTGGGTTTGGAGAAAGAGTATCACAAAAAGTCAACGACAGAACGGAAAGAATCCCAAAAAAGCAAACTTTCAAAAACTCACAGCATACGGCGCAAATCTAGCGAAACTTCATTCGACCTGATTGTACGTATTTCAAAAGTTATCTTAACATCAATTCCAATTTAGATAATATTATCTATCCTGAGTCCATTTAAGGTCTACCCACCATCATCACGACGATCTGATTTATCTGATAGTAGTGAAAAAGCCGCTTTCCAACAACAATTAAATCCTTATGCTCTATTTTTGAAAAAATCAAGACGCAAGGTATTATTAATTTATTATTCTTAGTGAACGTAACTGAAAACAATATCTAATTAATTGTCAATCTTGATTACAATAGGCCGTCACCTGGAGACCGCTAAAGGAAATCGACTTGAAAGGATATGATCCGGAAGCGACACTGAACATGCGTGCCACAAGGATAACGAACAAAATTTGCGAGGATTTCTGTCAATGGCTACGAGGACTCGGTGGGACCAACGAAGGAATAGACGAGGAAGTCCTGAAAGACATGTTTCAGATCGACTTTATGGCAGATGCTTGTAGGACTGTGCAGGTGTGATATTTTTATTTTGAAAGACAGACAGAAATTTGTAAAAGACCATTGCCTTGGATACATTATTTTGTAGGTAATGATAAAAGAAATGCCAATGGTACCGACGGCAGTAGCTCTTACCAGAAATACTCCAGACGCTGGTGAGCTTGTTTTGACCAGAAAGCACTTGATCAGGGATGCAAAAGCTGAAAGAAAGTCAAAGAAAACCATAGGCTTCGGTACGAGTCTGCCTAAAGAATTGAAAATTATCCCACCAAAAAATCAGGTGGAAGCTAAATGGCTACAGTGCGAAAATGTACCAAAAGACTTGGAAACAATGTCAGCGGTCTGGAAAGGAATTACTCACCTGGACAGCGTGAAAGGATTCACACATTGGATGAAGAACCATCATAATGTAAACAATAAAAAATACTCGATACTAAATTTCCAAAATTTTAATACAGCAATTAAGTACATAAATTTCGAATTTCAGACACCCCTTCCAAAAATTTTAAAAAGTGCCTCATCGACCTTCCCATCGGAAACAAGACAGTCCCAAGACCACGGGTTCGCGCACATGGAATTGAATCTGGACCAAATAAAGAGTCTGAAAGTGGTAGACATCGATACTGAAAATTCTTACGTTTAACAATGACACAAATCATTGATTAATCTGTGTCATGAAATCCAATATGGAGACACGTCTCTCGCCGCAAAATCTACAGAATGAAATATCCAGGTAACCTAGGGGATGAAATGGCCATAGAGAGTATGTGTACTCAACTCTCCTCTATCAGTGCCTGGTCCAACGTTGTGCCGTTATGCAACACACGTTAATGACATACCAAACGCCCGTTCCATGTACGCGGCTGACGGTTAACCCCCAAAGCCTCTCTGCAGACTCGGGTGGACTCGCCCTGACTCACCCTCTATCGAGTACGAATTTGTAACTAGTCTAGGTTTGGGCTGCAGGTCGCACTAGCCATGCAAAACCTGAAGACTTATTTGCGATCGTGTCAAATCAATGAATCGAACGTCAAGAGTGCTTACGAAATTGGTCAGTGTACTTTGCACTATATTGGTATATATACAATTAGATTCAGTGATTCGCTTAAGCAATCAATCTATATGACATAAAATTCATTTACAATAATAAAATTTTGCTTAAACCTTAAAACTAGTCAACAATTAAGATACTAATTAATAATTTTGTTTTGTCGATAAATTTGAAGTTTTTTGCAGTTTTTTTTGTTTTCAGTGATTAAGCTCAACAGGTTCATAAGCACTTTTCCAAATATCTACTAGACATACGGAACTGTGAAATCTGTAGAACATTGTCAATGGTACAGTCATGTGCTTTAGGATTGTCCAAAGGACCTTCCCATAGAATTCGTATCTATCGTCTTGCATGTCGGTTGATTTGATTTCGAAAGTTTCAATTATCCAAAGTGCCACGTTGCAGATTACTAGGAAAGTGATGAGTTCGCGGCCGGGCTTTTCAATTCGGTATTTCTTTGCGTTCGAGCATCGTCTAAGTCCGTCGATGATCAGGGGGGTTTGAATCAGTACTTGCGTCAGCTGAAACAATTTTACATAAATACTCTTCGGTCTTATTACTTAGAATATCATATTTGACAATGAATATAACAAATACCGTACCCCCAGAATGATTAAGAAGATCTTTAACCCATCACGCTTCTGGGCTGCTGGGACAATGCTAAAGATGGCGTATAAAAAGAATGCCGGAATAGCTATAAATAACAGTATATCATCCAGCAGTGAAATAGGATGATGATTAACATCTAATCTGATTATTTTCCTATAGGCCAATATTGCTGAGAGAGTCATGACTGTCAATAGAACGGCTTCGGTTACCTGATTGGCCCAAATACCAATCGCAGCGTACTCCCTAAAATATTCCGAAGGAATCGATCACCCAGTTACGAGTATGCATGTTTATAAATAAATAAACTCACGGTTCAGCCACGGCAATGAAGAAAAGAATTATTGAGACGATTGAGGCAACAAGAACTAATATGCCACCAAAAAGTCCACGGTTGGTGTGAGTGCAATCCGCATGTAAAATAATGTTACTTCCAGCTTCCGGTCCTGCCAGAGGTGGACAGGGAACACCCTCGGCGCTGCTTCCGCCACCTCTCTTACAATCGCCAATGTTATTCCAGATTATGTACAAAATTCCCACTGTAACAGTAATACCATCAGCATACCCAAAATTCATACGATAAATTATCTTAAGTGCTAATTGGTCTTTTGAATTATTCATATCATTTATTTTAATCGGCTTACCAATGAGAATGCTATACTCGATGGTAAAAGGGTACAAGTATGGTGAAAATCTTTCGTATATAACATTCAATTCGATATGTTGACACTCGGTATTGATGAAACTTCCGTTTAGGAATTCTAACAAATCTCTGGCACCTCTTTCTTGATAAGAGGTCAAAGGTAGGGCCACAGATGCACTACCGTCCGAAGAAATAAGTGCTGCCACCTCTGCAGTATCATCCTCGGGTGTCTGTTGAGTAAAAAAAATATTAGAGAAAATTTTCGTTGTCTGATACTGACAGTCGTTATATACCGTATACTAAGTAGTGCACCTGATCTGCAGCATTTGCATGTCGCGATAAGGAATCAGTACTCTCACGAACTATTGCCCAAACCCAAAAACAAATGCTGGATCCAATCATATGCATCACCAATATCCTCGATATCTCCTTACAGTGATTAATGATAACCTGTGAAAATTGTATGATAAATTTTCTTTGTGAAAAATCATGAAATTTTTAGAAACTCACGTTGGCGTACTTGAAGATAAAGAACAATTGAAAGAAGGAGTAAATCGGATAAACCACGTCAAAGATAAGTGCCACCAGACTGAAGCATTCATGTAATTCTTCGGATGTCAAGAAAAAGATCTAAGATAAAACACAATTAAGTCAGCAAAAGGATAACGTATCAATGAAATTATAAATTTGAAGATTTTACTGAAAAATTGAATAATGGTAGGATTATTCATTCACCTCGTATACCAATAAGAGTCCACTATGTATTAAGTGTCCAAAGCAAAAGACAGCTGCTCCAACTTTCAAATAAAAACTTCCAGAGTGTCTACCAACAGCAAAGCAAAATCCGTGATTAAGCACCGATACAATATTCACGTTTAGATTAACAGAGGAAATTTCATCCTCCTTATCGTAATTTGTCGTGGCCTTAAAATGTTTTTTCGCCTTATTAGCATAACTTCGAATATCAAAAAATAGATATCCCAGGTAAACGAATCCAACGAGTACCAGATATAGATTGAAAGTCTAAAAGAAAAAAACAATTATTTATATTAACGAATAAAATCACTGAATCACTCATAATCATATTTATATATCAACTATCAATCTTACAGCAGCCAAAGAGGAGTTCACCGTGAGAATATCAGCCACATAGATAACCATACCAAGAGTAACTAAAAATACAGCATAGATGCAAGATATGATGATAGAGATAAAAGATCTGCAAAAAAAGAGAAGAAATCAATTATCAGCATCGTAAAAACGTATCGCAACGAGTTCGCCGGTTACACCGAGTAAATGGGAACAAAGGAGATTAAAGGGGAAACATCTGTTCCACCGAAGTGTAATGCAATGTACAAATGTATAGCCAGACGTTGGATATATCGTAAAGGAGATTTGAGCAAAATATTGGGAAGTCAGTAAATAGCTCGGTCACGCCTGTCTCTGGTTACGACAGACGCGAAAGTCTCGAAAGGCTGTTGTCAGATCTGCCATCGAGTTCCGACAAAAACGTGATTGCCTCATTTGCAATATTCCTTCGTTTCGCGCACCGCGAAGTTCCTCTCCCGGCCATCCTCAATCCCACGTTTCCATTTCTCAACGACTCGAAACATCGGATTTTTTTTCTCAGAGCCTAGAATAGCGTTTCGGTTGCTCCGGGATACGATACGGGAACCTTCGTCACGAATGAAAAAAGAGATGATGACGCCACCGTCGCACCTCGTTAAACGTCTTGTTCCTGAAGATAACACCTGACGCTCACCTGAACATATTTTTCTTCTTTTCACCCGAGGTCGGTGGTGGGATTTGTCCATGGGAGCTTGCAGCTTCGCTGTGTATGCTTGCCGAACTATTGAATCCCTTGTTGATACCATTGTTGAGCCCATTGCTCTTGTTTACTACGTGAGCCTCGACGCTTCTTGGCGTTTTCGTACCATTCGCGTAACTTATTACACTTGGTGCTGCAATCAGTAAATTTCGTTTGCTCGTTACGTTTCCTATGTATCGCATAACAGAACAGTATTCAATAAATCCTCAATCATTTACCATACGTGTAATATTCGTTTGATGGTACATCAGAGACATTCTGTAGGCTAGTTAAATTTGGAATGGACTCCTGCGACTCTCTCGATATGCCACGTAGGACAGCCTGAGGTAGCACCAGTTGCAGTACCATATTTCCATTATTATTTCCCTGCAAATAAAAAAAAAAAAAAAAAAAAAAAAAAAAAAAAAAAAAAAAAAAAAAAAAAAAAAAAAAAAAAAAAAAAAATCTTTACACAAATTAGTAACGGTCGTTGCAAATGAATTCAAGCTTGTCGCCCGTGAAGATCAACGCCTTTCGCAATAGATTTCCTCCAGGTACGAGACTCTCACTTTCTTCGTGGAATTCCAAAAAATTGGCTTCGACTCTACATTACTTACACTTTCAAACGGAATCAGCCGCACTTGTTTCGATTACATGCTCGACAATGGATTCACTGCTAGTTCAGCCACAGTCAATAGGCTTTTACGCAATCCTCTACGGTACATTTTTTTTTTTTCATTATATGGATATTCATATTTTTTTGTTCTCTACACCTTTTGCGTAACGTCGACAATTAGTTTCGAGCTGTCGCACTCGAGTCGGACGATTTTGCGAGAGGCGCATGCGCAATGATGAATTATAATAATTCGAGCATCAGACGTAGCGGATGTATAAAACAAGTTAAGAATGATAATTAGTGGAATATTGATGAATTTCTCGCAACGTGGCATGGAAATAACAATAATATTAAACTCCGAACCATTATTATACCAGTACGTACGTAACAGTATAAAACATATTCCAGATCGTGGACTCCTGATTAATTAGCTCTCTCCGTGCAAACTTGGAAAGTTCGAAGTGTCGTCAGACACTAGAACGGGGAACATCTCTAGACGACGCTTGGAAATATTCGAGGGATAAGCCGGCGAAGATATCGCAACGGATCTTGCATTAATCTTGCATAATTTTCGAGAGAGCCAAGATAGACCGCGCGACGAATCAGCTCTCGGATTATTGCAGGAATTCTTGTCCACTTGCAGGTTAGCTCCGACTAACAATAAGATATCCACCGGTAGGAGCCCGAGATGGAATTGTTCGAAAGAAGAAAGAAAAACAGACGAATTTGCAGTTGCGTGTTGTGTCGACAAATCGATACGCGAGATAAAAATATTGGACAGATCGTGCAATTCCGAGTAAACGTAACGGCTGGTCGACCAGTTTACTTTCATATTCGAGTGATGCCGAAACTCACAAGAACGGCTCCCAATTAATTTACGTACGAGAAGCATCTGCATAGGCGTTGAATAACGATCGAGTACTCTAATTAACCGAGGAATCGTCGCCGCGACGGAATCGAACATGAGCCTACGCGGACTTTCAATGTTTTCCGTATCGCAGCCGTCCTCTTTCGCGGCATCCCCAATCGCCATTATCTTTCTGCAGAATTTCTTCTTTTTATTTGCTGTCTCCTTTCGAGCGCAGCTACCAAAGGATTTCCCACGAGACGTCCACTTTACCTGCGCTTCATTTTCGTGGGCTCTATACACACGAACCGTGTCCCGCAGTGGGTGACGGTTCCGAAGGAGAACTGAGGATGGAGGAAAATATCGAAAGATGAAAATAGAAGGCACAGCGATGGACAGAAAAAAAAAGAAGAGAGAAAGTGTCGAAGCGTCCTAGGCCGTATACAATATATATGTATAGTTGACTATGAGCCCGAGTGGCCATTGGCTATCCGTTGCGCTCCACTTGCAACGATTCTCTCAAGCGAGAAATTTAACAAGGCACACGCTCCTTCCTCGCGACACCTAACATTACGGGCGAACGCTTCACTTTTAATTACTTCAATTTACCAAGTGCCTTTGGGCCCTGCTTGGAAGCTACCCTGCCGAAGCGCACTTAGTAGGGATGATTCACACCGCGGGGTAATAACGTGCAGTGGGCTGGAGGGGTCGGCAGGGGTTGGAAAAGAGCTGGTGGGGTAGAGACAGGGTCTCAGGACGCCAACCCATATATGGAAGCCTAGTCGATTCGCCTGGACCGCAAGAAAAGCCTCCTGAACTCTCTTCTCTCGTATCTATGCATTATTTATAAGATGCCGCTGCGAATCGATCAGCATCCACCAGAGGCGCGATGCTCGCGCTCTCGCAGAGCTACGAAAATGTAAAAGGGCCCATGAGAGAATCTGAACGTGTCATATATCTTGGCTTTACTCTCCTATGGCTATTATAGTTATTTTCTTGGCGAGATGAAAGAAAGTAGGAGGAAAAGATATGTTACGAGCTTTTGATGAACTTACCGTGATCCATGGACGATTTGCCCAGTTGGCGCGGTCGACGTTTTTTGAAACGTCAGAATTTCGATCTGTCTTAGTATCCGCAAGATCCACTTTAAATCCGTATTCTACCGATTTTAGGAAGGAAGTCGTCACCTTTTAACGTTGCACTACGTCTACTACGCGTATCGATCTCCCGCGAATGCCGAGACACTTGCGATTTCTGGTGGCACATCGAGGAGTGAAATTTGCAGAAATACTGATCCCCAGAACGTAATGAGAAACGTTCACTGGCTAACTGAACTGTAAGTCTCCCCGTTAGGGTCTCTTAAAACTTTCGCTTTCCTCAACGGTCTAGCCTGCTGCGTTATACTAGGCTAACGATCCTACAGGTAGATGTATGTTATATGGGGGTCCGAATGCAAAGCAGTTACTAATGTAGCTGATTAACTTTTCGCTGTAACTTCTTGACAATAAAGACGCTCTTATTATTATTAACATATATTACATATAACAGACATGCTACAGAATCTATAGTACAGAGGAAACAAACTCTACAGTTTCCGGTGATTTTGACAAATCATTTCGTGATTTATTAGCAAGACATAGAAATGATAACATTGTCCAACTCTGAATTGTACACAGATTAATTTTATTATCGATTCGTGGAGACGTATCGTGTACGTCCCTTACGAGTGATACTTCATGCAGTCATACGAGGACAGACGCCCCATGACGAGAAAAATATATATATTAAATCTGTTCTGTTATCCGACAACATGAGTCTTTACCTTACGGAAGAGAATTCATTTTTAAGCTACCAAGCTGATCGATCAATCTTTACATCGTCCGGATTAAACCAAGGCGGCGTGTAAATCGACTTTTAATCCGCTGCGTCTTAATATCAATGGCCCCGCGTATTCAGAATTCTACGTAATTATGTATTTGTATCATTGAGCAAAATCGATATTTCTTCACATTCCAATTTTTTTTATTTACTTCAGCGAACGCGAGATAATGCTTCCTTGAAAAGTTCTCGGTACACTCACCTCGGTATTCACAGAACTTACTTCGTAAGCGACGCCCTTGTTGCTTGCATCATCCAGTTGCAGACTGAACGGTCTTTTGTAGACTCTTGATGACGTTGGGATCTCATTCAGCGACCGCGGCCTTTGAACTTTGAATTCCTTATCTTCTCCGTTCTATTAGCCGTCGAAAGAAAAAGGAAGATAATAAAAAAGAATCAAATATTTGAAGAGGTCTCAGCATAAGAATTGAATACTCCTTGACGCCCTTTGGGAACGGCGAAAGAAAAACGCACCACTGCGTGACGATGCCTCACGACGTTCTCGTCGAAAACGTCATACTCTTCCAGGCTATATCCAGGATTATCCACGCCCTGGACCTTGTCCGTCCCCGAGTCACCAAACTTCCACTCCGTGTCCTTCCTGTACTCCGACTGAGCCCCAAGCGTCTCCTTATGAGGCTTGAACTCCATTTTGACCAATTTTGGTTCACCCGATGCTGGGTTCAAATCCGCTGGGACATCCTCGCTGAGACTAACTCGAAATCTAATCGCAGTTTATGGTAAAATATGAAACTTGTTTTTCGATTCTGATAACAGATATTAATCTTTTGGATTACCTGTGATTAACCACACCGTAGTACGGTACTGCCTCTGATTGCGGGGAAATGCTATTCTTCATCGTCTTATGTTCTTAATTGTATTCTTGCCCTTTATCGCGTGTCTTTCATGTCTTTTATTTTATCTATTTTTATATCACACAGACTCCTGCGAGCGGCACTTGAAATTCAGATTTGAGGAGTTACCGACGTCTTGAACGAGAGTCTCAACTGCTTTAAACGGATCGGCTTTTATAGATCTAAGACTTGCAATCTCTATCGCAATCAATTATACTGCTGAAACATATCACTGTACTATTAATGTCGAACACCTGATTAGTATCAATTTTCATTCAGTATTTTATTTTACGGAAACGTCCGAGTGCAGATTCTCGACTCTGTGATTAAACAACAGTTCGTCCTTGGTATTAATATATTATTAAGTATATTATTAAAATGTGTTACCAACCTGTAGTAGAGACGATAAGAGACGTATTTTCTTAATGAATTATCAATTTTGTGTAACACTCATTTTATAACTATATAAAATATTTAAAAAATTATGTTCCAGGTTGATACGTTACGCTGACGAATATCATGAAAGGACTGATCGCGATTACAGTCCTCGACTGTTCTAATTAAGCGGATCAATCAGGGAGGCCTATAGGTCTGAAGCATAGCCGCGACGATTCAAAGAGATAACGTTGAGGATATTATGAGATTTCACAGTGACAGATCATCCTGTGGATTTGGTTAATGTCCACTGATTAATTATCGTACCAATATATTTATTTGCGATTGACCATCTCTGTGTTGACCCTTACAAGATCGTAGCAAACTGAATATGTTAAAAAATATGGAAAATACAAGAAAACTTAAAAGTAAGTAAATACGTTATTCTTTATTATTGTCTTTTATGGATTTTCATAACATTTTCAATTTTTACTATTAAATCTGTAATCCTGTTGCATACATGTTTTGTACATTGAGTGAACTGAGATGATAATAGCCGGGCGATTCGCTTCGTTACACAGGACACACACCCATTCTGAAATCAGATGGGAAGTATTTCCTGTCGAGCATTCATTCGTTCAACCTATTGTCCTTCTGTTAGCATGGCGTATCCCTCTCCCCATTAGATGTTTCCTTCTTTTTTTTTTTTTTTTTTCTTTAACCTGTAACACGGTAGTCGCAACAGGCCGCGAGCCGCGCCTTATTTACGCGTATACAAAGAAAACGAATAAAGTGGATCAGACCAATTTCGGTATAATTGTTTATGTGATGATCATATGATTTTTAAGAAAACGAACCGAAGCGGGATACAATTACTCAGTGGATGAGAGAATACTAGAGAATCGATGGGAAGAAGACGAGGAGCGATGAAAAGTATAACATGACGTAGGTATAGTCGCTGGGCAGACGCATTACCATAAATTTTCGCCTCCGCCGAGTTTCGTACACATTTCTGTCATGGATTTTTTTGTTTCTTTTCCATCTCTGGCACATTCACGTTCCTTCGTTCCACGGTGCCTGGCTCCTTTTTTACCAAGACTGAAAAATCTTAACAAATTTTCAAGCGGTACCAGTAGTACCTCTTCCTTCTCCCATATACATATATATATGTATATATCATAAGGTAAGCAGATGTCTCAGGTGTACCCTGCACGTTGAACCTAATACATGCTGGAGCCAAGGAAGCGATGAGAAAAATGGTTTAGGAAAAATAAGCAGTGATCCTTCGTGTGAAAAGGATGCAAGTTAATCCTGATACAGGATCCTTGGTGAGGGGTAAACTTAGAAGACGGTTACGTCCCTGAATAACCGAGTTCGCTGCTCTCGTGAAAGAGTAATTTTTCTCTAGTGTACTTGATTGAGTTGTTAAGAGATGCTGTAGTTTTACGTAGTAAACAAGTTAAGCGTCAACCAAGAACACCTACGGGTCGAAAGTCCTGGTCCTGGATAGATGAAAACCGGGATGACGCGCGCAACCCCCTCTAATACCAGGAAACATGTTTACCGGCCAAGCTTTTCTTCCCCTCTCCTTTTCTTCTCACTTCTCTTATTTTTTTTCTCCTCTTTCTTGTCCGCACTCCGAACAACCCCCGCGCTCAACATTTTTCACCTCCTTCATATATGTTCAAGCACCCAGTGGTAATCCTATATCTCTAGGGAAAAAAGCACCATTGTAGCGATAAGATATCACCAGGCCTCTTTGATCGTCCTACGATCGAAATAGTACGGCCGCCCAGACTGCGCTGAATTATTCTACCAATAAGGAGAGTAAGAGAGAAAGTACACTATTTTTATTCACTGTTTGGCTCATGCCAGACCTTCCCAGGAAGTAAAGAGGATCGATCGTACACACGTCGAACTATCAAGTCCGTAAAGAGTACTGGATATAGAACCCTATGATTCCACGTTATTGTAATGGACTTTGGCGTACATCCGGTCTCACCCGGAAGGCCGCTCCCGTCATGCTTAGTCCCATGTCAGGCCCCTCTCTCGCTATATCCACCAACACTGGTTTAACCACCATCACTATACTCATTCTTCTATTTCACTGATGCGTTATGTTATTGTTAAAGGACGTTCCCGACTGTCGCTATTGATTTCGTATTCACTGCCGAGTCTCAGTGCATCGGTGTCCTGTGACCGTTCGACATGATCCGGGCTACATCGGTTTAGTGAAAAATTTAAATTATCACAATTTTATCACCAATGATAGGAGTGTCAAATATTTCAAGTGAATAAGTTTCTTCAAAGTGATTCAGACTGTAGCAGGTACAATATTTATCCAAGGGACAAACACGTACGTATATACAGGGTGATTAAAAGTTCGTGGTACAACCACGAAGGTTCAAATTTTGGACCAACAAGTAACTCGAAAGCGCAAAATAAAATATTATCACTCGAGGCTTCCTTTTTGAAAAAATTCACTTTGAAAATTAAACCAGTACGCGTAAAGTCCGAAGAAGTGAGTGGATCTCACTGAAGATCACTCCGTAATGATAAATTGCAACATAAGTGTTTGCAGCACATACCCCTGATGCCAGGAACATGTACGTGAATTTATGACAACTATATCTTGTCATGTCAATCGATCGATACAAAACTGATGGTTAATACTAATAATAATAAATGAGATAATAAGACTCATGTAATACAAAGGACCATTGTACCTATCACGTACACGGTAAATCGTGATAGCGTATGGAAAATTAAAAATAAATATACTGGTCTTTAATGAAATGATTTGAAGTGACATTAAAAGAGAAAAATGAATTTTCTCAAAAACAAAGTCTCCTATGGAGAAAAAGTATTCTACAATTTTGATTAATTTTTTTCACGAAGAATCTGTACCTTGTTTATTGTACCACAAATTTCAGCACACTATATACATCACATGTAATTCCGATACCTATAAACTTTCCAAGAGAGCGATTTCTTACCCTTGCAAAGTGGAACCCGTGACGATGCTAACACGCGACAGTCCAAAGTACAAGCCGGTGGCTCCCTGTTCAAAGTAAGCAATTAGACAAACACACGGACACGAAGTGGTCACACTTCTAGCTGGTTTAACCGAACCCTTAGCCAATGTGGTACCGCGTGCCTACCGTATCCACAACCCCTATCGTCCCAGATAGTGTATGTAGGCCAGAAGAGGGTGCAGACCGGTCGGAGTCGACGAGGTATCCTCGCACATTCAAATGACATGGACTCGAGGGTAATAGGAGGAGTATGGGGTTAGAACGAAAGGAGGACGATGGGGTGAGTTCAAGGGGTTGGCCAGGATAGTCAGAGAGGCCACAAAGTATATTTACATATGAAGCTGCGGTCAAAGCCTTTACTTTGCGAAGGTTCCTCTTGCCATTGCTACCTAATACCTACAGCTATACAATTTTCGATTTGGTCTTGTAGAGCTGCGAGATACGTACGATAATCCTGCAGTTATACTCACCCTCCTTCGAGGGAAGCATCCCTTCTGGAAAGTGTCAAGATCGTGGTATCACTGATACATCTAATTTTATAGAAACTTTATATACCGTTATCGATATCACGAATCAGGCTGACTCTCCCTATAGAGATGCTGTGACGATCTTTGGCGGATATTGTTATTCTATACTCAAATTATTTCCACTCTTGATCAAAAGATGCTGCGTAAGACTGAAAGGTATAGTTAAGGTAGATAAAGAGAGACAAACAGATAAATGTATAGGAATTAGGATAACGCGAAGTCCCTATACGCAACATCAAGGAGATCGTTTAAAACGGTTTCTTCGCTTTCGTTATCTTGTTCAAATGAATTCAGCAGCCACAGAAATCAGTGGTTATCAGTACTAAAGAAGATACAGTGTAGTATGGAGCTTGCTAGGGTGCACGTCGGGGGTCTTCTCTCTGGTTAGAATGGAAATTGAATTCCACCCTCAGCCATTCCTCATCTCACTCTCTCTTTAGCCCTCTCTCCCTTCGGTACTCTCACTCCTCGCGATTCACCCTCCCTATATACCTCCCGGCATCCTCCGCTTTCCTCAATTCCCTTGTCACCCAGCTGCCCGACAAACCCCTATTCCCTAGCACACCGCCAGCCCGATTCGACTGAATTTCAAGGATTTGGGTTACCTGCTACGCTCGGCGAACTTCCAGCCACCGCCAGGACGATTGACTCTCGACAATCGCTTCCTAGACGTTCTCACGTAGGATCGTGATCTACGTGATAATATTGCCCACAGCATCCGGATATCTAAGAAAAAGCTTACTAGACGAGTATCTTAAGTGTAGGCGGTCACGAAAATATAGGGTATGTCGCAAAAGAAATGCTAGAACGAAAACGAGCCCGAAGATGCTGTAAATAAAAATGAGAAAGATATCTTCTTGAAATGCGAATCTCTGGCTTGGTTTTTTTCACGATTTTCCTTCCGCCAGGCCCACTGGGGTTGGAAGGCCTGCGGCTAGAAGGCACCGGGAAAGTATAAGGGTAGAGAACGAGGGTTAGGTACGAGCGTGCTCCCGTGGTACGAGGGGGGTAATTACGTGTCGGGGCTGACTTATAGCGTCTAAATCAGTGTCATCCAGGCTTCCCCGTCTTGGGGCTGTCCTCCCTATACACTTCTATGGATAGAAAAGGTCTGGGAGCAATCTCAGATTTCGTATCCTCTACCTGTGGAATAGCTCAGCCAATCCGAAGAACAGCTAACATCTATCTATGCGCGTATCTCGCGTATATTGATATAAAATTTGGAAAAACTTTGCAGAAAAATCCTTTACTCGGCAGAATTCCTGAGAATCCTGGGGAGTTAGGCATCGTGCGAATCTCAAGGCCGTTACAGAAAATTGGTCGTTCCTTCGGGCATAGACGAGGATTTCGAGAAGTTCTGATTACGCCAGCTTGAAGCCTCCTCTCTCTCTCTCTCTCTCTCTCTCTCTCTCTCTCTCTCTCGCTCTGTCACTCTCTCTTACTCTTACTCGGTCTCTCTTACTTTAACTCATAGAGATCTCCGCACCTCTCTCGTACTCGCACTACACATACGCTTCCGTGCGAATCACAATGGATCGCGTTTCCGTGCGCTTAACAGGTGCTACGAGGAAACTTAAGTGGGGAACTTTATTAAACGA